AGGGCATAACTACCTTTTTGGTAAATATTAAGAGATGACAAATTGGGAAGAAAAATGGAAACAAGAATTCAAACAATTCAGTTTAGCTCATTCTAATTTTTTTGCTTGTGATAAAACTTGAAAATTATTTACAGGGAATCATGCTCAGTGATATTTTACAAATTTGATCTCTTTACAATGAAAAATGTTGCTAACAGAAGCAGGGAAAATTCAAAAAATAAAAACATTTTTGGTGATTTCTGTACAATTTTCAAAAATGTTTTTACATGTTTGGTTGTAATTCTGTCAAAATTTTCAGCTTTTTGCATGTTTAAAAAAATTGAATTTAGAAAACATCTTGGCACATGCAATGCTGTAAAAAATTTGAAAATTTGTGGAAATTCACTTTTTGACAGATTTTCAAATTCATAAAAACAGACCCAGGAAAACCTTTTCGAGTCCCCAGACGCATCAAGGACGGGTCCATTTCAACCTTGTTTGTATGCGTACCAGTCNCATGAAGGAGTAGCTGTTCTGAGAATTTCTGTGAGAGAAGCCTTGCTGAGTGTTTTGTATTGTGTGCTGAGAAGACTTAGAGGTTTTCAAAAAGTTTCCTAATGCATGCACACGAAAGATGTCTATATGTGTAGGCAACGACATGCTCAAGAGCATGAAGTGCAAGATAGCTCAGCAGGCATGGTGTTGGACACCAATGCAAGAGTACCCAGGTTCAAGTCCCCCCTGCGGCAACATTTCACAGCGCATGCGTAAAAACACAGCCACACACACATGCATACACACGCACACACACACACATGCATACACACGCACACACACACACACACAGTATACTATACCTCTCTCACAAACACACTTCCCAGCACACAATACAAAACACTCAGCAAGGCTTCTCTCACAGAAAATCTCAGAACAGCTACTCCTTCATACCAGCAATTACTATTGGAAATATTTTTGGAAATATTATTAGGAAGCCAATATATGATCGGCCAATATAATATTTGCCAATTATACATCAGCTTCCCACACCAATTGATGTCCTATGGTGGGGGCAGTTGGGAAGCCCATACAAGCATTTAACACACTTCCCAGCACACAATACAAAACACTCAGCAAGGCTTCTCTCACAGAAACTCTCAGAACAGCTACTCCTTCATGCCAGCAATTACTATTGGAAATATTTTTGGAAATATTATTAGGAAGCCAATATATAATTGGCCAATATAATATTTGCCAATTATACATCAGCTTCCCACACCAATTGATGTCCTATGGTGGGGGCAGTTGGGAAGCCCATACAAGCATTGGCTTGCCTCTAGAGGCAAGCCAATTCTTGTATAGGCTTCCCAATGAGCATCGGTTTGCCTCTATAGGCAAGCCGATGTTCATCGGGTTGCCTCTAGGCAAGCTAGCTTGCCTCAAGGCAAGCCCCCACCAGTCGATGTATACTGGTGGGGGCAGTTGGGAAGCCCATACGAGCATTGGCTTGCCTCTAGAGGCAATCCAATTCTTGTATAGGCTTCCCGATGAGCATTGGTTTGCCTATATAGGCAAGCCGATGTTCATTGGGTTGCCTCTAGGCAAGCTAGCTTGCCTCTAGGCAAGCCCCCACCAGTACATTGACTGGTGGGGGCAGTTGATGCTTGCCTCTAGGGGCAGTCAATGTGTGCCTCTAGAGGCAAGCATCAACTCTATGCCAATATTGTGTTTACAAACCATATATCCTATATCGGCGTAGTAAGCCGATTTTAAGGGAGGCTGCTGCATATGCACAGAATTGAATTTCTCTGGCTAGCTGGCAGGTAGAAGATACCATGCCTCACATGGTTAGCTATTCAGCTAGTCAAAAGCAACACCTAAACGACGGGTATGGGGAGGGGATGATGTGGTGCAGGATGCGCGGGCGTTGGGTGGATGCTGCAATAGATGGGTACCCCGACACCCAAGGGACCTGGAAAACGGCACATTGGGAGTTGGGGCCGACGCATAACGCTGGCGCGCTGGCAGCACGCTGGTAAGTAGCCACCCAACTCCAAAATTTTTTGCTGGGCTGAAGTCAGGAATTGCCTTTAGGGTAGCCTCACCCAAGAACAAGGTTCTCATATGGTCTTCATGCACTGTCACTATTGGTGGGGAGCAGGACGCAGCTGGTTTCATTGATTCAACAGACACTGGAGGTTTCATTGGTGCAGCAGATTGGTCCAGCCAGTTTTGGGAGTAGTTTGACACAGGATCCTCAAAGATAGCTTTTAGAGGGATAGGCAGTTGCTTTGCTAGTACAGCATCAGCCAGGGCCACACTATCCAGGAAATTATGTAGGTTGAGGCACATGGTGTTTGCTTTTGCCGTTGTGGGATCTTTCAGTTTGCCCATCACTTCCTCAATGTGATCAGACAGATTTTCTTGCAGATGGGTAATATTGACCAAATGGTAGATTGACCTTTCACTCATTGAGGCTTGAAAGCCTCAAAATCCTTGTTCAGGTGCCCATCCAGATCATCCCAGTACTCTAGGAGAGCATTCAGGTCCACAGGAAAGTGCTCCTCTAGGCTAGTAGATGCCACAGAGGCAGGTGGTATGAGAGCTCCAAGGGGTGAGCTTCTTGATTCTTTCACAGCTTCTGGAGGTGCAGGAGTTGGTGCCTTAGTTGTTTCTTGAGGGAGAGCAGTTGGCTCCTTGGGTATCTGGAAGTTGATGGGGTCCAGACCAGCAATTTGGAAGAAATCCTCAGGATCTTCTTGACACTTTTCCAATTGTTCAGAAGCCTTGTGCAGGGTGCTGAAGTAACCTTGCATCAGGGGAAGCTACTCATGAATCCTTTGGTCTGCAAGTAGATTTTCCAGGCAAAGTTCAGATTACAGGCTCTGCTCCAGTGCTAGGAGGTGACAGTACAGACTGGCACCATCCCTCTGCAGTGAAAGCAGTATTTCTAGCCTTTTTGGGTTTTGCTGCTTAGCAGCAGCTGCCTCAATCTGTGCCAGTTCAGTGGAGATTGACATTTCTCTGAGATGTCCTTGCCTCTTTACCATTCCAGGTCTCTACCATAATTTGGCTCTGATAAGAGCCATTTGTGCTCAGGGTTTGCAAGATCACTTTGGATATATGTGCAATGCAGGAACTGAGTCACCAAACTAGGGGGCACACAGCAGTGTGCCACAACCAGGTTGCTGCAGCAAGATGTTCACATACAGTCTTAATCACCAAAGTCAGGAGCAGGGTTGATCTTGGACAGACCAACTTCAGTACTTTGGTTAACACTGACTCACTTCTTAAGTTCAATTGTTGTTGTAAATCCTCTTCAGAGGACCATTTAATTGTCAACCCTAGAATGAGTGGCTACAAGCAATTGTATGCTAAGGTCTTGAAACTCCAAATTTTAGAGGTGGGTGCCCTTGGCTAGGTCACTGAGTTGGCACCTAAGTAGTATGGATGATGGCAGAAGTGGTCAGGTCAAGTATTTCAGACCAGGGACATCAGTTACCAGGTGGCATGGGAAAGCCCCACACAAAGTTGCTGCTCACTTTCTGAGGAACTGACTGGTGTGTTGAATAGAAAAAACTCCAGAGAACTTGCTATCCACAAGTTCATTCACAGCACAGTGGTGAATTTACAGTTTCCAACAAAGAGGAAGCCCAAGAGCTTATTTTAATGAAGTGCATGTGCAAATGATTTGCCTGTACAGTAATACAAATGAAAAATACATGGTCAAAATGCAAACAGGACAGGCAAAGTTATACAGCAGAATACAATCCCCACAATTGGGGAGCAACTCAAAAAACCCTTCCAAAAACAGTACTCAGAGATGACCAGTTCTAAACCAGGGGAAAATCCTGAGTCAAGAAAAAGGGGTTGGAAAATTTCCACCAAGGACAGGAAACCAGATCCCCTTAACAGCTTTCAAAACAAGAGGAAAAACCAGCTTAAGTGTCTGCAGCTGCCTGGGACCCCTCCCTTCTCCATTTTCTTCAATGAGGGGAAAGTCAAGGCTGAGATTGCTGACTCAAAAGTGCCAGCCAACATTGCATTACATTTGCTAACCAACAAAACATGAACACTTGCAGTGGGAAATTCCCAATTCACCACATAAATTAAGCCAAATAAAATGGTGGTGAGGAGTCTCCCTCAGAAAATTTTGGGAATAACCTCCTTCTTTAACACAACAGAGATTGTCATGTCATGCCCAAAGAACCCTTGAAAACCAATAATTAGAAAACTAAAACTGCCAGCATTCAAATTTGAACTCTGGACTCTGCAGCTTCTCCCTTGATGTTTGCTGCACATTGCAATGTCAAAAGGAGAATCCTTGTTGCAATGCTGAAACAAGAATCCTTGTTGCAACATCTAAAAAATAATTATTTTTGCAACGTTGAAACAAGAATCCTTGTTGCAATGTCAAAATGTGTCAACATGAAAATGAAGACAACATGTGAATTCTTGTTCCATGTTTTTCAAGCCAGAACTTGGCCCAAATCAGGTTGCAGCTTTGACACTCTTGCCTAAGGGAAACTGCCAGGACCACAAAAAATTGTTATAACAAAAAATCATTATAACAACATTTGTTGTAACAGAATTCTACTGTATATCAATTTGCAAAGATTTTCTCAACAACTTCAAACCTAACAAACAGCAATGGACATCAGCAAAACAAAAGACAACCTGCACAAAAACCCAACTTTGAAAAATATTTGATAACAAACTCACCCAATGATCTGTGTCAACAGCACAAACTGTTGATTGGCACTGCCAGTCTCAGGTTCAATTTTCTGTCTGTTTTATTTCTGCCTGGTGTGAGTTTGTAACACAGGAACTGATTTGGGTTTTATTTTCTTTTCTCCTAATATGGAGGAGTCCTTTCTCTACATGGTTTTCTGTTCCTTGCAACTGTTTCCTTGTTTTTGTTCCCCCTCTACTTGAATTCACTGTATTAAAGCAAACCACTCATTTACACTCATTCTGTTTTACAATTTCTATTTGACAACAGTGGAAAACAACCCTCACTGATTCTCCCTTCTAAATTGAGAATTTTGAAGGAATGGTTCTCTTGAACTAACATGTGTATATATTTATGTTTATATGGAATATACACCTGGATGCGTATATATTTGTTAGAAGTGTTCATGGAACCTGCAGCTGCTCATTTGAGACAAATATTCCATCTCTATATTTTTATTCTCAGGAAGGCATAAATATACCTTCTCTCCCCCCAATTCTCCAAAAATAATCTAGAGCTCATTGTGGTTATTTTTCAGAGAGACTTGCAAAACAATTTAGCAAGACTCTCTTAGAATCTCTTTTATTTTATTTACAGTTGTGCAATTGTAATATATTGTGCATACTTGTAACTGAATATACATATTTGATTATATTTTATTGAAGCATACATTTTGATTTTCCTTGGTCTACAGACAACAGTATTTTGTTCAACCTTTTTCACTTCTTCTCATCATTGTCATGGATGAAAAGATATTGTTATCTATTGAGATGTGAATGTAGCTGAGATTATGAAGAGAGACAGAGAGAAGAAAAAAATGAAAAATTCAGTGTGAGATAAGCACCCAGGATCCAACAGGGGAAGCAAATGCACATCTGCTCAGTATGCACATCCATACACATTACTTCAACTTTATCTCAGTTATATGTATTTGATTCAAATAGTGTATTATTTGAATGAACACCAATTGACTGATGACCTATTGTCATGAGTCCAATTACCAATGAGGTGATGAAAATTCATTCTTTTTCTCAACCATACAAGTAATCACCCCACTTTTGTTATAGTTTCATGGCAAGATATTGCTGTACCACCATGGCAAACAACTGCTATCATTGAGTTCAAAAAATTTATATATTGTACAGGTATACAAGTTCATCAAATTTGTTATGGAATTTCCAACTATTTCATCATTTATTGCATGTGCTAGTACAGTTTTGTGTAGGCAACTTTATACATTTTATGGCAATGCAATATTTTTCAAATACCTGGCCTTCAAATACCTTGCCATTTCTGACTTTGGATTTTTTTCAAATAATAAAATCCTCAAAATTGATCACAATTTTATCATTCATGGAAAAGTGTCTCATGGTCAAAAACATTTTGAAATGTAATGAATGTAGTTCTACCAGTTGATTTATGTGGTTTTTACTGAAGTAATCACTTTTTCATCAAAGACATAATTTTGGTTCAAAAGCCACCTACTTACAATGGACTCAGAAAAATAGTGCTGAAGAAAAGGTTTCCATTTCTCATCACTGGAGTGCCTCTTTTGGAGGGAAGAGACTCTTCCTAAAAATCAATCTATTATTCTTCTATCAGCTAGCAAAATATGTTTTTAAAAATGCAGTTCTAAACAGAACTGCACAATATCATTGAAGAGCAAAAGTGTCCATGCACAGTTGTGTCATCAAATATTAATATGAGTGTCCTGGGATAGGTTTATAATGACGCTTCCTATCCTTTCTTTTCATGCGTCCCGAAACATACAAATACTTCCTTGCCTAGCAACTCAGATCGGAATCTGAGGAGGTCATGACGCGTACTTTTACAGTGTCTGGTTTGCAGTCATTCCCGTCCCCGTTTCTGTTTTCCAGACTGAATTGCATCATGCATGTCTGGTTTATTCTGAATCTATTTAAGGTCCGCAAAGTGTATATTTGGTATTCATTGTCGGTCTGGCGTTTGTTGCAGTCACATAGAAATATACGTACTCATGTCTTTATGACGAGAAGTCTTGTTCACTTAGAAACTTGGGCTATAGGAAAGAAATCTTCTCGTCAAAAGTTTATTCTTGGAAAGTAAATTTATATTAGATTGATCGCGTCCAGAAGAAGACGTTCTTCTAGAACTGAGAAGTGTCTTTAATTGATTTTCCCTAATAAGGATAACAGTTGTAAAAAATTAATTTTGATGCACACTGACAGTTCATGACCACTACAAACAGTTGAAGTAAATCAAGACAGTCAAAAAGTAGACAACACTAATATACAATGCACTGACAAATACAGGTATGTGGATGATGCGGAAATCCAAGTTGCCATGCAAAAATACAAAACGATTATACACAGCAACTGGCTTTTTTTAAAACCTATTTCAAGTGTCAAAACACACTATGGTATACAAGGACCAACATTTATGTGATTCATTAGCCCCCTAATTTCGCGTTTAATGAGGGTACAGTAATTAACCCTTGGATAGCACAGGGTTACTGCCTATCCAGTGCGAATGTTTGAATGTTATGGGGAAGAGCGTTTCAGTTTGACCAAAAGTCAATGAAATGCCCCCAAGTTGCCATAGCCTGGGTGGGGGAAAATCCAGGTGCAGAAAATCCTAATGCCTCCAGAAGTTCCCAATGTTGATCCTATGCTGGAAATGCATGAAAAAAGCCAGCCAATAGGAATATTTTTTTGAACCAAAATTGTCTGCAGGATTCTAAAATAATATTGGAATTTTTCCTGACATGGGCCTTGGTTCAGAAATCTTTTTTTAATTTGCTGCTGTCAAAGGGACTCAATTTTGCAGAAATATCTCAACTTTGTTGCACAAGGATCAAAAGAATAATACAGGTGGACACTCTCTACAATGAGTGTCAAGGGAAAGGGACTGGAGAGAATTTTTGTAGTCCTACTTTTGTTGTTTAGAACACACGGGCAAGAGAACCCCATGGGACCAAAATAACTGTCCTGCAAGCAATATTGTTATCTTTGTAGAGAATGGCCAGTTGTAATATTGATATGCCCCAGTGTGTTCTTCATTAATATTTGGCATATTCTTTTTGAGTCAGGGGTTTGCCTGCATTCATGCTTACATGTGTTCACATGCACATTTCTACAGGAACTGTGGCAAAGCTGGAATTGGAAACGCGTTCTACAACTGCCAACCGGTCTGAAAAAGGTGACCACACGTGATCTGTATCTGCTCCAGCACCAGCGCAACGAGTCGGCAGGCTCTGACTCTTCATCAGATAACACCAACAACAATGAAGCTCAAAAGGCCAGGAGCTTTTGGGAAGTGCTCAAAGGAGTGTGTGCCTTTACGGTCGATGGTGACGTTGATGATGATAATGATGATGCAACAGTGAACAGTGAGGGCGACGACGGTTCGACCCAGGTGCAGCATCAGGAGCGGTCGCATCAGCAGGGACGGTGAGAAAGTAATGTCTGTATATACCGGAATGAACGGGTACTGTGTCATCCTGGTTAACATTTTTCGGAATACCCTAAATGCGTCAATAAATGCCCAGGGCGTTTATTTGAAATTATGAATATTCTCCTGCCTTTTGTAGACGCCAGCATCTACTATATATCTACAATTTTCAATTTTCCTCGGCCTTTAATAGAGACCAGCATCTATTGGAGACTGGCAATTATTTCCAACAGTTGTGACCATGGAACAAGATAAACTAAATAAATTGAGGAAAACACTCATGGGAAAAAAGATTTTCCACTGATTCTTGGAATTAAGACATATGATTGCATAAGAAAAAAACTCCAGGAAAGCTGTTTGTTATTGAGCATTTCAAGACTGGATTGTGTGAAGCATAGTTAAGATCAACAAACTTCTCAAATTGTTTTTCAAACTCCCCTTTCTTCGACCTGCTGGTCACTATTAGAGGCCCACTACAATTCCCTTGAATCCTTTTTCTGAGACCTGGCATTCATACAGACCTGTGTATATTGGAGGCTTGGAATATATTGGAGCAATTACAAAAAGTTATTGGACTGGTACAATATGATAATTTGTATCTTAAATCCTGTCCCATGTTGATGCAGTTGCACCTTCAGCCTTTTAGGGCAGTGCCATGCAGAATACTTTTGAAAAAATTCATCATTAGACTTAAAAAAAATAAATTATTTCACTGGCAAGTATAGCCATTTTCAGAAAAATTCAAGTATTTGTTTCGGTGTGTACAATAGATTTTCTTCATGAGAAAAAATAAAAAATCTTTTCCTTGCACGCTGTGGTTTTTCAACCTTCAGCTCATAGGATTACCTTGGATGGTCTGTTAGAATTAGCAAAATTCTCTCTTCTGGGGTAACAAAATATTTCCTGGTTTAGACCACTCTGCTGTTTTGTATACCATTTTATCTACATAGGAAAGAGAAAATGCCATGAATACTGTACATTAATTGATGAATTTTGAAATGAAATAAAAGAGTAATTGGGCAAATAAACCTCTTCCTCCAAAATGAGTATCCTGTCAACTCATTAAAGAAAAGAATTTGAGTCCCAGAATATCACCAGTATAACAATTTCCTGTGTTTTTTTCTTGTTTTCCAAAACAAAAATGAATGTTTCTCCAAGTCAGATCCTCTTCAACTTAAAGTCCTGGTTTGTCGAATTTTTTGCTGGTGCATTAAAATTTGACACGATGATCAATTATGCAACTTCTTGCAATCTCGGCTTTCTCCTCTTCCCCTCCCCCCAAAACAAAATTGCCCGTTTACTGACCTCAACACGTTTCGAAGACATTTTTTCTGGCCCTTTGAATAAGTTCAACTAACAGATATTCAACTGTACTGTATATTCAAGTGATGCTGTGGTGAGTGGCGAACAACTGGCTGCCGCCCTCCAGCGCGAGAGCCGCAAACAAGCAGAACGCCGTCGGCTGTGGAAAGAGCAAGTGGACAAAACGTTATTGATGCTGCAGGCATCAGATGACGTTGATACAACAAATGGCTCACTGACGAGAATTTCATCATCATCTTCATTGACAAAAAGAACAGCAATGAAAAACAATAACAAATTGAGCGTCATGCCTTGGATCACAAGGGCTTGTGCTGTGCAGAGCAATAGCAGCAGCAGCAGCAGCATTTCAACAGCAAATATCCCATCCTCCCACCTTGAAAAAATGCCTACTTTTGCCCACTTGACCAAGATGCAGCCCATGCGACGAATGGAAAATCAGCAGCAACAGTTGCATCCAGCACCTGCACCTGATGGTACAGTACAGCATGGTAAGAAAATCTCACTTGTCTATACAGTAGTAAAATCTTATCACACCAAAGCTATTGTGATGATACAGTGGGACCCAGATGGAATGTGGATGTGTTTTAATTGCTGCTTGGACCTTGTCCTTATGCCAGCTTTTCTGCATGTTGGATCTCATGTTCCCCTATAATTCAATGTAACCATATTTGATTGGTTGTCCTGGTCATAAAAAATTTGGAATATGTCCCCCAAAAATTGAATAAGATGGTTTCCTTCATTTTGAAGATACAGTACAGAATGCAACTAAGCAAAAGGAAACCTCACAGAATCTAATCTTTTTGCATCAAGAAGAGCTCACAAAGCAATAAAGAGGTCCTGGTTCAATGGGTACAGATGACAGAAAGAGCTCTGAAGAGAGAACAAGACCAGCTTTGCTTCAATTAGGGATGAGAGTAGTTTTAGTGAAATATAGTTTTTGATTGATTTGATTTTGAATAGCTCAATTTGTTCAAGATATATTGAGATGAAGAATAGGACTTATAATTTTTCTTGAAAATGTTGGCAGTTTCTGTATCTCAAGCCATTGTCTGGAAGTCTGATACAATTTTTTTTTAAAGTTGCAAGTGTCCCTAAGCTGAATCATTTGGATATCAGGCTGATCTCACTTTTTAAAAACTAAGTTTTGACAAATAATATATCATGAAGTAACTTTGGTTGAATTGTGGCCATTGGACATCAGGGACCTAAAAACAACTTTGTTGTAACTCTTATAAGTGATCATTTTTTACAGTATATCAAAATTCATTTTGATGATATTTTATTGTATTTTTTACTGCTGGATGCTTCACATTTGCAATTATTTATAAGTTTGCCTTCCATGTATATGTGTTTCTTTAGTAAACTTCCAGATTGGTGCTGCTAAATCTCATTTTAGCCAAGGGCAACATTGCAGTGCTGGAGAGCTCTTGCAGTCCACTATACGGTACCAGGTCATCCGCCAGTCAGTCAATTCACAGTTGGGCACCCGCCGGTCATCAAGCGCTGGTTGGTCCAACCGCCAGTCAGTGCAGTTCTTGGCCTTGCCAATCCCCAGCCCACCAAACTGCAGTTTGGCCACCCAATTGTTGGGGCACCCAAACAATTGGGTGACAAGAATCATGCTGATTCTTTCT